GGGTCCGATGCTGTTCTTCAACTTAATGCATTTAATGACCTTCAAAGCATTTTAAGTCAATTCATTTGATGTGCTTTAATGCATTTCTATTACTGTTCCAGTCAGGTTTGCTTCTGAGTGTGACCTGCCCGGAGTGCCATTTTGTGTGCCAGAAAGGTGGGCTACAAACCCAAGAGGTTCCTCGAGGGACTCAGAGCTGGACCAGCAGTGGGCAAGAAGCGCACGGCTCGTCTCCCAGGGGAGCAGCCCCGGGATCTTGGCCAGCGAGACCTGAGGCCCGGCCACTCCCCCATCTCTGCCCTCAAGCCCCCTCCCCAACCCCGGCAGCATCGATGGCCCTTCACCGCCCGTCCGGCGCCAATTAGCTGCCTCTCGGGGTTCCGGGACAATAGTCTGCAGTGCCACCACCTGCTGCCCGCAAGGCGGGGAGGGGGTGTGCGGCCCCCCCCAGGCGAGCCTGCCCCGCCTCTTCCCTATACACCGGGGCGTGGGCAGCCCCCCTCCCCTGGCTGCAAGGGTGGGCTGCCCAGGCCCCCGCCCCCAGCCCGTAATCCCTCCTGGGTGGGGCCTGCTCTTGCTAAGCTCTGCTGGCTCTCGGTGGCTTTGCACGGCTGCTGGGATTTGCTGGGGGGCGGGCTCAGATGAAATTAGAGCATGAAAGCCCCTCTGAGCCCAGAATCGTCACCGGTGGAGGCTGGAGAAGCAGTGCGCCCCCACCTGGCCCCGCTCCTGCTGCGGGAGATTCGGAGGCAGCGCAACCCTGCCCGAGAGAAAGAGCCCGATCCCCCCCCCCCCCGAGATTTCCCACCCCCGACCGCTGTGCAAGGCACGGCTGGGCTCCGAGGCGGCCTTCCCCGAACGGCGCCCTCCAGGTGGCTGGATTGCCACTGCCGGCACCCTGGGGGCACACCTGTGTGGACGGAGCCAGCGCGGCCCCAGAAGGGCGTTTAAGGCCTGGGACCCGCAGCCGGGGCCCCGGGTGCCTCCCGTACAGGGTACAGGGAGCAGGCATCGCGCTTAGGGCTGTCTCTAAAGCCCGTACAGGCTTCAGGGGGCAGCGCTGTGCGCGCTTAAGCAGCAAGGAAGCCCTACAGCTTCCGGCGTTGCCCAGCTCGCCTGTGCCGGCTGGGAAGCCCCGGTAGTGCAGGGCGTCTCTTTTGCCTTAACGACGCAGGACGGGGCCCCACTGAGGGGGCGACACACTCATGGGGAAGGGGCTCCATCCGCGGCTGCCTGGAGCCTCCCGATTCAGCAGCAGTCTATGGCTGGATCGGGGTTGCTCCGCGCATGCCGATGGCCTCCCCAGAGGAACGAGGATGCTGCGTATTGCCTAGGCTTTTCGGGCCAGGCATTTATCTTCCTTGCTTCTGATGAGAGAAGCAGAAAAGCCGCGATTCCTGACTGCGGCTGATCTTATGCGGCTTGTTGTTTCCCAGCATCTCACATTTCCCCAGGCCTTGCCCACGCACAGTTGCACAGCCTTAAGGACTCGTGGCTTGACTTTTTAAAAAGGGAGCAACCTTTACCAAATGCAACTTACTGGGTTCGAAAGGTGGGATTTCCTGATGTATACTTCGTGCCTAAAATCTGCATGTCGTGACTTGAAAAGTTTACTCTCACATCTTGGAAAGGTTGTTGCACAGAGGAAAATGCATTCTGCACGTGCTCAGAAACACGAGTAGGCAG